CCCAAGTTTGCTCGCAAGCCAGCTTCTTCACGGTCTGACCGCCGCGACGCTTTTCCCAGCCTTACCCGGCACGTGCAAAGAGAGCCCGAGGTCTCTAGATATGGTGTATACTTTGCACCATCCATGTAGAAGACTGGCGGAAGTGCATACCTGCACCCACTCTGTGGTGGTAAGCATGAAGCAGTTAGGAGCTTTAAGTACTTGGGGAATTTCGACCGCAGTTGGTGGTGGTACTGTGGAAAAATCACGTCGTAAATTGTGAAAGCTAGAACGGCTTTTACCAAAATGTAACACATGATATGCGTTTGTCCTTTAAGCGTATATCGCCGCGGTTCTTAGCGTACTGTTATATGTTTGTGAGACCTGACCTCTCCGCGTTGAGGATGCGAATCGACTTTCTGTATTCGACGACCGATGTCTCCGAAGCACTGCCTGTGTCTGGTGGGAACATAGAATGATGAGGTTAGTCGTCGTAGGTTGGGTGTGGATAGTTGTTTCCTAAAAGAAGTGGTCGCTCTACATCGCCTCGATGGCTTGGTCACGTTTTGCTTGTGTCCGTCCATCGTCTACCTTTTCGTACTCTCGTTGCACCTGCTGAAAAGTGCTGGAAGGAACGTCGTAACGGTGAAACCGTGACAGCGTAAAGGTATAANAGAAGCCAGCTCTAGCTTTCGCTTTGTTTGATGCAGCCCGCCCTCCAGGTTGTTACCCAAGAGATGAGGATTGCTGTTGTTTAAAGACACTAAAGGATATGGCCTAGAATAAAGGTCAACGGCTCGAATGCTGTACAATCTGCTTGTTGAAATCCCAGGCCCCGTAAACTAACACAGAGAATATCAAAAAGTGTACGGAGAAATCAACCGACAATTGTTATTCTGGCTGCCTTTACGCTGTAATTAGTCGATCTCCATTTCACTCTATTTTGTACCCGAATTCTCTCATCCATTTTAATCATTGTTGTTGCGTTGGCACTGTGCTGTTACCCAAGCCAATGGTATCTTAATAATTATGGATGTTAATTTGTTGTAAATAAAAACTGTTTCATTCTGTTTAGTTACCTCTTACCTCATCATGGTGTAGGTCTACCACTAATAACGAAATGGGAGTAGCCGCTACATTTTGAACCACTGCATCTGCTGAATTTAAACGAATCATAAAACTCACGTCTATAAAGACTCACCAAGACTTGTTTATTATTATTTTGAAAAAAGATTTACTTCAGTATAAATGCTGTTGTCTATACTAACCGACAAGTGTTTCACATGGACTCGTTGCTTCAGTTTCGATTAGACATATATATATGTATATATTCGGCACAGATATGTTGCACGATTCAAATATTCGCCCCATCTATGTTCCTTCTCTTATATTTCAGAACCAAACAGTGCAAATCGAAGATCGCATTCGTGTAAGAATCATTGGTCTCCGCGTTGATGCTAGTGACATCGTGAGTATTGATCGTGTTTTTTTTACCCGTTTACCTCACCACGATCCTGTTTGTTGTTAAGCCGAGTGACTACAGACCTATTTATCTTCAAATATGCGCAGAGGCAATGAATTCCACTCACAAGACTTCGTCGCAATGGCAATGTGAACCGCTTCGTTTTCATCTCAGTTCATTTGTATTCAACCCCAAGATGTTTATCCAAAAGTTCACTCTACAAAATGAAACCACAAAAGTGGTGGAGGAGTAATCCATTCAAGCAAATAGGGATTCACTTCGCTCCACCAGCTGTCTTGCAGTTAGGTTCTTGTTACAATTACACAAACAAAATCTATTTCCATACTGCATCGATCGTCGCACAGGACGATCAGGAACGCGCTAGCCATAAAATCGAGCGGAGTGGATAGTGATAAGTGGGCTACTGCCCAGATATCCCAGACTATGTCTAATTCTTTGTCTGCCATACCCAACCCTATCCCTGTGCCTCTACTTCCGACCAGTAGCGGTCTTTCAAATAACTTGCATGTCGCTTTCCAAAGGTCGTTGCCAAATAGCAATATAAGTAATTTACCACGGAGTAATTTATAGATTCTGAAGCCTTGGCAACCTCTCAATCTGAGGGTCTTCAATGAAAGGACTCTGATGCAGTTGAGTCAACGTGCTTGTGTGGTCCGTACAAAAGACTCTTTGGGAGTAGATGTCTGCTGCGTTTCGGAGACACGAATTCAGGATACTAGTACTCTAAGCCACTTAAGTGCGCCCTCCGCACATCGGCGACGACGAAGCCCATTCCGTAGGCCAGCCTGGGTTAGGTATTGCACTCAGTAATAGCATCGAGCCTTGTCTTGTCTATTGAATCTGCGTCAACAGTCGTTTATGTGCGATGCAGCTCCAGTGATCATTCAGTGTCCGAATGGGAAGCAACACCAAAAGGTGTGTGTTAATTATATCGGCATATTAACCAACCAATTGCTATTGTGATGCACAAAAGAAATATCTCTACGACAAACTCACTGAGCTCATTTGGTAGAGTAAAAGCACCGACGTAATTGCACTTGTAGGTGATTTTAACGCGCAGGTTGGAGAACTGAGCGCATCGGAAGCTTGCGTAAGTGATCGTTACGCTCTTCCCAGTCAGCTAACACATAATGGTGGTTGAGTTCTTCAGTTCTGTGCTGATCATCATCTATACCTATCTAGCAACAACTTCCGACACAGCTCTCAATGGAGAGCAACGTGGTGCTCCGGTTCAACTAGCACGCTAACCCAAATTGACCACGTAGCAGTAAGCTAACGTTGGCGTGACTCAGTGCAAAGTCGCGGGTTTTATTGGACCAACTGCGTCGATTCTGCTCACACCTTAGTCTTGATGCAGTTCAGTCTCCGATTCGCTGGTCGCAGAAGATCCCACCAAATTCCTTTAGTGGTTCATCGTTTATCTACCCCAGTCGTTTGTGCCCGTTTTGAATCCGATCTGGGAAAAGAGCTAATCGCGCTGCGGCGTGCTGATGTAGACGAACTATGAGATCAGATTAGACGAGCAGTAAACTCCGTGGCGAGGGTTGCTTGTGGATCTGAATTGGTCGCCCGTCCGAGGCATTGAGTATCTGGTGAGTCAGAAAAAGGGGCAAATCGCAACCGCCCGGGACCAAAACAGGGGTAGGTGGCGTCTGCAACGACAACTCAAGAAGAGCCTCAAGAAAGGCCGTGAAAACTGGTGCGCATCAATGGCTAGTGAAATGGAAGTGGCAGCTGTATCAGAAAATAGTTAAATACTGTTCCAACTGCTACGCAAGACGGGAGATCGACGAACCACAGTTAGTGAAACAATCTGCGATAAAGTGGACAGGCTATTCACAGAAGAGAACAACAGCTTGACCGGTGGGCGGAGTACTTCAACGAACAGTTCAGCTGGCCAGGAACTAATCAGACTATCTCGTCTATTGTAGTTGAGGCTCCGTAGGCAGTGCCATGTGAATCTCTTACTAGAGCAGAATTTCGTTCCTGCATCCAAGCCCCGAAGAAAGGAAAGGCAGCAGGGCTAGATGGGCTTCCTCCTACTCTTTTCAAGACAGGGGAGGGGCGATGACCTTGTAAACTCCATTACTGATCTAATGCGTGACATCTGGTCACACGAGCGCATTCCATCATCGTGGAGCGAATCACTGATCATTGCCGATTGTAAGAAGGGATCTCGCAACGACTGCGCAAACCACTGTGGAATAAGTTTGATCCCAAGAATCACCAAGTTACTAGCCTCCATTATGATTCGACGTCTGAGGCCGTTTAGGGAGACAAACACACGGGAACAACAAGCAGGAGTCCGACCAGGTCGCTTTTATATCAACTAAATCTTCGCACTGCGTCACGTCCTCGAGCTACGCAAACACCCCGTCGACCGACGGTTGTCTTGTTCCCTAACCTAAAGGGAGCCTTTGACTCAGTTGATCGTGAATCCCTTATGGGTTCGCTCCTTCGCAAAGGAATGCTGCAGAACTATGTGAACATACTGAGTTCACTCTACTCACATACCTCTAGTAGAGTAAGGGTCTACGGCGAACTGAGTAGGTCATTCGCAACTAGGAGCGGTGTTCGTCAAGGGTGCCCTATTTCGCCATTCCTGTTCAATTTCGTCGTAGACGAAATACTGGAGAACGTACTAAGTGGTCTCCAAAATATAGGCATTGAATCGGCAGCTGGAGAAAAGCGGTGCTATTTGGAGTACGCTTATGAAATCGTCTGCTTGTTCGAATGTATGGGAGACGCACATAGGGCACTTGATAGGTTAGCAAGTTGTGTCGCTCCGTGCTGTGCGTTGCACTTTCAAAGTGTAATGTGATGCTACAGGACTAGGTGTCGCCCAGTTCTGTTGTGAAAC